ATGTTAGGACATCCCCGTACATCATGGATTTATCCTCAGCCCAGAATAAAATCTATGTCCGTCTTTAGGTATAACGCTTTGACAGTTGCACTGAAGACACTTAGGCTACTGTGGGCTACATTACTGCAGTAATAACTGTTTAAAGTAATCTGTTACCTAGATAACTGATCAATGAACAGTAATCTTTCATATTGTAGTCGCACTGATTGGAACATTCCTATTCCTATTGATCCTTTCTGCACTCGTGTGTTTTAGAGCCTGTCATGGTCCACGTTGGGCACACATTCATATTTCTAGCTCCACCTGATTAAAATGGAGGATCTGCCTTTATCTGCCATGGTGAATCATAGTATCAGAGCTCCATTGATGGTGGCTTTTTTTTTTTCCATCCCCACGCTTCCATCAGGCTCAACATACTCAGAGTTGATTTAACTTATTGTGATCAGCTGTTCTGGAACTGAAAATTCAGAGGTCAACCCAGAGGTCAGGGTTAAGCTCAGAGTTTGTTAAGCCTGCTTTCTGAAACAGGGCACAGGTCTCATTTGAACTTGACTGAATTCGAGAGCAGGCTTGACATATTTTGTTCAATTGTTTTGAATAGATTGTGCACAGGATTTTCATATGAATGTTTTACTATTTCGTTCGCACATTTAGTGAATTGTAAAACAAGTGCACAAACTGGAAAAAAAAGGTATGATGTGACCACTCAAGGGCTCTGAGGCAAGTAAAGCACTGTCCAGTGGGGGGGGAAAGAACTGCTGCTCTGTTCAGTGCACACTTTATTTCACACCACTATCAAGCAAAAAGATCATTAGACTTGCAGCACATATGGTTTACAGTTGCACACATGTAATAACATTAACATGCCCATCCACTAGTTTTCCATCTATTTTTAAATAAAACTGAGCATGGTACTTTGTGTTCAGTTAGGGTTTTTCATAATTTTTTTTATTTACACACTTAAGCCTTTATGTTTAGATAATACTGTATCAATTCAAATACTAACATTATGATTTTTTACTTTACTGATGAAGATGGAATCAAAGATAAATCTCAAGCTTTCTATCCTTAATTTTTACATAAGATCTGTACTGAGCGGGAGCCTTCTGCATATAGTCACTAATGGTGTGGGTAAATTGATTCACTGCAAATCTGAAAATATCCAGAATGTCATTAATTGTGCCATTTATATCATCCATGTCCACAGCTCTGTTTGCATACCTGGTGATTGTTTTCACTAAGCTTACGTGTTTGTCATAGAAAGCGTTAATGTAGACAACAATGACATCAGACTTCAGTGTGTTGTCAACAATGTCCTGAGCTTTGTCAACAAAGAATTTTAAGGTGTCACCCAGTTTCTCCAGGAACGTGTCTAGACTCTCCAGGTGCTCCAAAAGATCCGCAATAGAATTAGGCATAGTCTTTACCCTTTCCCTAATGGCTTCAATAACTTTGGCTCCAGCCATGACATCACCAATGGGCATTGTCACCTGAATTTTACTGATCATGCCAATTACGACGCTGAAAGCACATTCTACATTAACAACCACCAGGTGGATTGTCTTCTCTAGCATAATAGCAATGCTGGTGGTTATCTTATTGAGCACCTCAATGAGAGGGGTCATCTTCTCAGAGCCAGGCAGTTTGACATGGGTCTCCCTCAGGACCTTGATGGCAGCATCCAGGAAGACATGAACAGTCTTCTGGTACTGAACAACAGTGTTCCTAAAAAGGATTGAGACCTGGCTCAGATGTGGGGCATGGCTGTTTGCAATGTTGTGGGCCTCCTCAGTATAGTGGGTAATACTATTCTTCAGCATAGCAGTATGTCTGAACAGCTGGTATTTCTCAGCAAAACTAGACAAACAAGAGGTGATGGCAGGAAGTCTTTCCTGTAGTCCGCTGAGCATAATGTCAGGGGCATCCATGTTGATGACCATTTTCACATTTATTTTATCAGCATTCTTGGCTGAAGCTCTGATGGTGAAGATATCAACATCCTTCCCAGGATCCGACTGTTTAACATAGAAAACATAAAATGAGATGTAAAACTTTTGATATTTTTAATTGTTTAAATATAATAGCAGTATGAGATCCTTACAGCATAACGGCCATATAGCCTGGCATTCATCTGAGACGGGACCCTGCCATTGACCTGAAGACCCAGGAAGCCAGTAGATGGTATAGAAACTGTGGCACTGATTCCATCCTTGCGGACAGCATAACGAAAGTTCACATCAGTGAAGGCAGGGCTAGTTATGTCCACATTCAGGGCAAGACGGGAGTCACTGTAAAGACAGGCATAAATGTGTCACTTTTCAGTACTAAAGGAGGCAATTTTACCCAAAAAACAGAACAATTTTAAAGGAAATAATTACAAGTGTCATCATATGTTTTCTACAAGTAAAATGTCAAAAATGACAACTGTAAAATTAGCTAAATATTACACACAATGCTGATTTAAAGTGTTACCTCAGTGTATGGGAAAGAATGTGCTGAATGTCCATGGTTAAATCGCTATGGGTGAAAACCATCTTCTTAGTCAGGCTTATGCCGGCATGTTCAAAATTTATGGTAATGGAAGCTGTTGAAGCACATTGATTTTAGTAAAATCACATTGATGTTTTTTAATTAAGATGTAAAAGTGTATTATATGCTAAGAAAAAAAACTTACAGTCCAGGTCATAATCCAAGAAGACAACAACAGAGGTGGCAGAGGACCTAAAGTTGACATTGAAGACAGGAGCACTGCCCTCTGCTTCAGCTACCATGTTGGTGGTGTACAGTG